GCCGCGTTTCAGGTCTTGCGTTTGCTCATGGGCGCGTGGACGACCGCCCGTCGATATCAGCAGGTAGTGCCGTGCATGTGCTGCCGCGGCCCATCTGATTTTCTCGAGCATGTCTGGTCTTGTCCCTCTTTTCTCGCTCTGCTCTCCTCTGTCCTTGTTGAGTTCCCGTGCCCCCCGCTCCCCGCTTCCCCTGTTGCTCGTCTCGGTCTCTCCGATCCATCACCTGCCGCATTAATTGTTCCTGCAGCTGCCGCGCTGCTGTGCCATCAGCTTCGCAGCGCCCACAGCGGTGCAATCATTCGCCCCGATAGGGCCCAGGCAGCGGTTCCCACAGTCAGGTTCCAGCTGCGCTGTGCATGGCGGCGTTGAGGAGATGAACGTGCGTGTCCGCCTCGGTCAGGCGCGAGGAGCAGGAGGGGGAGGAGGGAGGAGGGGGGGGGGAGGGTGACCCCCACCCACCAAACCACCCCAACCCAACCCGAAGGCTCATATTTACCATCGATTTCCAGTGTGTGTGTGGGGTGGGTGGGGGGTGGGGTGGGGGTGGGGTGGGGTGGGGGGGGTGGGGTGGGGGGTGGGGTGGGGGTGTGGGGGTGGGGTGGTGTGGGGTGGTGTGGGGTGGTGTGTGTGTGCGTGTGTGTGTGTGTGTGTGTGTGTGTGTGTGTGTGTGTGTGGGAGAGTCGGGAAACATCGAAAACAACACATGTGGAACCGTTGCCCCCCCAACCCGAAATTCGGGTCTTCGGGTTGGGTTGGGGTGGTCTGGTAGGTGGTCAGATGAGGCGGGGGAGGCGGAGGAGGAGGGGGAGGATGGGGAGGGAGGAAGGGAGGGATGGAGGGAGGGATGAGGATGAGGATGAGGAGGATGATGATGCTGATGATGATGATGCTGACGATGCTGATGATCATGATGATGATGGTGCTGCTGCTGATGATGCTGATGATGATTGATGATGGTTGTGATGATGACGACGATGATGCTGATGCTGATGCTGATGATGATGATGTTGATGATGATACTGCTGATGATAATGCTGATGCTGTTGGCGATGATGATGACACTGGTGATGCTGATGATGCTGATGTAGATGATGCTGCTGGTGCTGATGTAGATGATGATGCTGAAGATGATGCTGATGATGCCGGTTAGGGTGGTGGTGATGTCGATGATGATGATGATGTTGATGTTGCTGATGATGCTGCTGCTGATGATAACGCTCATGATGCTGATGATGATACTAATGCTGACGATGATGGTGATCATGATGAAGATAATCTTCATGATCATGCTGATTATGCTGATGATGCTGATGCTGATTAGTATGATACTGATGTGGATGATGATGCTGCTTCTGATGCTGATGATGATGCTGTTGCTGATGATGCTGATGGTGCTGAGGATGATAGTGCTGCTGGTGTTGTTGATGATGCTGCTGATGATGCTGATGGTGAGGATGATGGTGCTGGTGATGATGTTGATGATGCTTCTTTTGATGATGACGATTGCGATGATGATGATTTTTTTGCTGGTTATTATCATGATTATGATGCTTATGATGATGCTGCTGTTGATGATGGTGGTTCTGACGATGACGATGCTGATGCTGATGCTGATGATGATGCTGATGATGCTGATGGTGATGCTGGTTATGCTGCTGCCGATGATGATGACGATACTGACGATCATGATGTTGTTGATGACGGTTCTGCTGCTGATGATGATGATTCTGATGCTGACGATGATGCTGGTGTTGCTGATGCTGATGATGCTGCTGATGCTGATGGTGATGGTGATGCTGCTGCTGTTGATGATGATGATGAAGTTGATAGGGGCGGTGATGGTGATGATGAGGATGAGGATGATGATGACCATGATGATGCTGATGATGAGGATAATGATGGTGCTGATTTTGATGATGATGATGCGGCTGAGGATGATGCTGCTGATGGTGATGTCGATGCTGGTACTGATGCTGATGAGGATGCTGATGATGCGATTGCTCATGCTGATGCTGATGCTGGTGATGATGACGATCACGATGATGATGCTGCTGATGATGATGCTGATGCTGATATTGTTGCTGATGCTTCTGATGATGATGCTGATGCTGATGATGATGCTGATAATGATGATGATGATGTGGAGGATGCTGATGATGATGATGAAGATAATGCTGATGATGATGATGCTGCTAATGCTGATGATGATGGTGCTGATGGTGATGACGATTATGATGATGAGGATGATGCTGATGATGATGGTGCTGATGATGATGATGATGCTGATGATGCTGACACTGATGATGACGATGATTGTGATGCTGCTGCTGCTGATGATGCTGAAGATGGTTGTGATGATGAAGGGGGGGGAGGATGATGAGGAGGAGGAAGTGGAGGAGGAGGAGAAGGAGGAGGATGGGGATGATGATGATGATGATGATGATGATGACGTTGATGCTCAGGCTGAGGAGGAGGAGGAGGATGAGGATGAGGATGAGGA